CAGAAGCGGGAGGAGGAGGAGTTCAACACGGGGCCCCTCTCCGTGCTCACGCAGTCGGTCAAGAACAACACCCAGGTGCTCATCAACTGCCGCAACAAGAAGCTTCTGGGTCGCATGAAGGCCTTCCACAGGCACTGCAACATGGTGCTGGAGAACGTGAAGGAGATGTGGACCGAGGTCCCCAAGGGCGGCAAGGGCAAGAAGAAGTCCAAGCCCGTCAACAAGGACCGCTTAGCATCTCCAAAATGTTCCTGCGAGGCGACTCGTCATCATGGTTCTGCGGAACCCACTTATCGCTGGCAACTAGGGGCACGCCGGGAAGCCCTGCCCCGGTCTCCAGAAGAATAAATGTCCAGCGTTTGTTGTAAAAAAAAAAATAGAAGATTGACGGCCCGAGAAACCCTATGTAGGGTCGCGGTGAGCCAGGACGAACTCGGTGGCAGTGAGTTGGGATTCTTTCTCCCCTGTAGACGTGCCGTGGTTTCTGTGCTAGACCCTGAACATCCAGATCACTCTCCATTTTCTTATTGCTTGTTTCCTTTAGAGCTGACTTAAAAGTGGAACAAGGTTTCACCCCCCAGAGAGCTGGGTTTGAACTCTAACACATCTCTGTTTCCTGATGTGAAGATTATTGCTAGTGTGAAATGGCTTACCCTAAAAGATAAATATCTAAGGTGGACCCGTTTATCTATTCGATTGGAAGACAGACCTTCACCTACGTGGTGAAACATAAGGAAAACGCCAAGCTCCCCACCGTCGCATCAAGTCGGACCCACAGCAGCCCTATAAGGCAGAGTAGACCTGCCTCATCTTTCTCCTGCTGAGCGACTGATGGGTTTGAACCACTGACCTCGTGGTTAGCAGCTCAGTGCATAGCCCACTATGACACCAGTTGTTGTCAGGGGCCATCAAGCCTGTTCCGACTCATCACAGTCCTATGCACAACAGAACGCAACAGTGCCCGGTCCTGCGACATCCTTACAATTGCTCTTATGTTTGAGCCCATTGGTGCCGCCACTGTGTCAATCCATCCTGTCGAAGGCTTTCCTCCCTCACTGCCCCTCCGCTCTACCAGGCATGATGTCCTTCTCCAGGGACTGGTCTCTCTGTATGTGAGAGGAGTGTGTGAGAGCCATACTCACAAAGTATGGAAGATGAAGCCTCTCCATTCTTGTCTCTAAGGAGCATGCTGGCTGTACTTCTTCCAAGACAGATCTATTCCTCTGGCAGTCTACCAGAGGGGCTCGTAAAATCCACCAAAGTGCTTTGGTGAATTAATGAAATGTTTCCTTAGAGTTCCACTGAGCCAGTAATTTCAAACCATCTTATCGAGTCCATCCTTCAACTGATATGCCCATGGTCATTTTTGCTTACACACTGTCTTTGGGTCTCTGATTTGACTATTTTATCTGTTGTTAATAGCCTGGTAGCACTGTGGGTTGGGTGTTGGGCTGCTAACTGTCGATTGGAGGTTCAGCCTCTTCAGCCACTCTGAGGTAGGAAGAGGAGGCTGTCTGCCCTGGTAAAGAATTGCATTTTCACTTCTGCTCTGCCCTGTTGGGTCCCTGTGAGGGTGCAGTCAACTTGATGACTGTGGGTTTGGTTTTTGACATGTATCACTTATCCCCCAAAACCCAAACCCACTGTCACAGGTATGTATTTGCACATTCTGCAGCACTGCTGCATATTAATGGGGGTTGTTGTGGTATGTTCTCCAGGGGTCCTGCTTAGGTAAGAGTGGCACATAGTCAAGATGGGAGACAGGTGGGAAGCAAGCACCACTTAATCTTGGCCTTCTCTGCCATGGTAGGATGGTTTTTCAGTTTTAAATTCACAAATTACCAGGGCCCCTTCTCATGTGTTGTGGTTAGGTGCCCCTGAATGGGTCCTGGCTCATAGAGACCCTGTGTACAACAGAACAAAACACCAGGGGCCTAAGGTGGCTAATTATTAAACAAAATGATAGTGACTCTTTTTTTTTTTTAAGTGTGCTTTTTTAACCTTTAAAAATGAGGTATTTTGGACATACATAAAAGTGGACAAAAGAGGAGAACGTTGTTTCCTCAATACACCCCCCTCATTCGTTGCACTAGATGTATTGAAAGTTTTAAAGTGCATTTTGTTGTGGAGAACATGGATAACAACAGATACCAATTCGGTTTTGCATGCTGTGCGTCGCTGTCAGCGCCGTGACGGACTGCGCTCTTCAGCTTGTGCGAACCATTCTCAGCTACTTTTTCTGAATTGTTCCTCCTTTCATCAACTGAGAAGGATAAGGCTCTTCTAAGATCAAGCTATTCTAAGACGGACAGTCTTAGAAACCTTGCGTAGGATTGTTATGAGTTGGATTCAACTCGATGGCAGTCGGTTTGGTTTGACTTGATTTTGGTTAAACTAAACTAATGTTTGGTTTTAGAAGACTTCAGTGCATATTTTGGTCTAAAATAGAAAAATTACCTGGAGTTGATCCAGTTTCTGGGGGTCCAGAAAGTCTGCAGTCCATGAGAATTTGAAATTCTGCTCTGCGTTCCACCCCCACTTTGATCAGGATTCTTCTATAAAAACTTGGATCAGAGCATGCAGTAACGGTAGCCATGCACCACCTAGTTTGGGGTTTGTTGTTTTGTCTCAGGGCAAAGGAGGCAGTTGTTCATGGAGGCAATTAGCCACACATTCCACTTCCTACTCCTCTTCCTGCCTCCCTTCCTCTGCTGTGCCAGGCAAAGAGAGACCCATTGTTGTCCCTCCACTAGATGTTCTTGTAACAAATGCCTGAGACCATAGGATCACGTCTGTAAATATTTCACTGCATATCTGTAAATGATAAAGACTTTAAAAAAAAGGCATAGTAAAAGTACCATCATCACCCCTAAAAATTAGCAGTAATTGCTTTATATCATCAAATATCCAGTTCAAATTTCCCTTGTAGTTGCACCAGTATTTCCTATAATCCAAACCAAACCAAAACAAAGTACATTAAGTCTCTACTAACCTATAAATCTCCCCTCTTTTCCTTACAATCCATACGTTGAAGATGTTGTTTCTTCTAAATTGAGGGAGGGCCCACAGGGACGGTGAATTATTTTTTTACATTAGAATTCTCACTTCCACAAGAGATAGGCAGAAGTAGAGAATTTTGCACCTGCAAGAGTTTGTTTAGCCATCCTTCTTTTTCAGGTGTTATCACCCCCGACTTTTGAACCTCAGTCACATTTGATTACAGTGGAAGAGCTTTGAGAGCAGCTCGCTCAAATCCCCTCAATCCACAGAAGAAGCTGGGTCCCGGAGTGTCTGGGTGGGTTGTTCAAGACAGAGTGTTATCGACTCAGCCAGTGTGCTTTCCTCTTTATCCCAGTGATGTTGCATGTGTGCCGAGGAGCCCCCTGCCCTCATGCTGCACACAACTTCCCCTCTCCGGGGAGACCTGCTCCTCTTCGTCCATGGAACCCCTGCTCTTGGAGAAGCACCCTGAAAGAAGGGCAAGGCCTCGTGGGAAAGGTTGAGAACACTCCCTTCCCGAGACCATGCGCCTCCTTAACACAGGGGCCACGAGACCTAAGCAAGCATTCCTCTGCTTTCCAAGGTCTCCGGACAGCTCTGAAGACCTACTCAAAAGTTCCCAGAGCACCCATCCACGTGGGAATCCGAGGGAGCAGCAGGTCTGCTGTGCGCACCTTTAACACTCTGACATTAAAAGGAGCCCTGCCACCAAGCCTTGTATTACTATGACTATATTACTGTACGCTTTCCACGTTCCATAGACATCGTGGAAGAATAGAAGATGGTCTCATTTGGAAAGGTTTTGTCCTCGGGTGATAGGCTGCCACAGTTGAATTTAATTTGTATTGACTCATGTTGATTCCAAAATAGGTTCACACCAGTTTCTTCCCACAGAGGCTCAGGAGAGCTGCTCAGTGGTCCTCCCTAGAGCAAAGAGTTGACTTCAGTTGAGGTGATTGACACAAACACCACAGATAAAGATTCAAGTTGTAATTCTATCAGAAACCTTGGAATATTCTAGATGCAGTATAAGACAAGCTTCCTATTTCTCAATAATGTGGTTTTGAGCAAGTACTGTAATTAGGAACGACCTAGTTATAGGGCGTCATTATACCTTTTCTAGAAATAGAAAGCCTTTTAGATTAACTGTTGCTTCTCTTTCTCACTCTCTCTCATTCGCTTTCTCTCTCTCTCACACACACATCAAGTTTTAATTCTTTATTTTCAAAGGACACCATTATTTTAAAATATACTTTTAAAGTGCTGTTCACATCCAACCTGGCAGAGTTAAATTTCTTGCACCTTTATTAATTTGGTATTTTCTTCACTTATAGTAAAGTACATGTATTGCATTAACCAAGTTATATGATTTTAGTAGCATATATTTAAACAAAAAATGTTTCATCCCATTTATAGCTGAACTTTTGAGTAAGAAAACACTTTTGGTCCATTATGCCTTTTTCCTTACCTGTTATACAAGAGGGATTCAAAAAGTTCAAGAGAAAATAGAATGAACATTTAATGGAATTTTCCACACACTTGTAATGCCAGGACACATTGTTGAGCTCAGACTGTATATATTTTCGATCCTGTTAGTAGTCTGATAACTTAGAACAGGATGAGAGTAGAATGATGCGCCCACCTACTTATCTAGTCTTTTTTTAAAGGCTGTGAGCCTTCACTCGCAGTTTTCTTCTTTTAAAGAAATATATTCTTTGCCCTGTACTTACACAGCCCATCTCAACACATGAAATCAGTAATAATATCCCGTTAACTAACCCCCCACCACCTAAATCTATTCTCTCTCCCCCCTTCCATCCTTCTTCTATTCCTCTATAATTTCCTACCCCTCCCTTCTTCCTGCCCCTGCCCCGGCCCTGGCCCCTTTTTAGTCTTCAAAGTCTTTTATTATTATTAGCTTTATTGGCATATCTTGCACAATCCAATATATCCAGTCACATACAATTCTGTTCAACCCCATCGAATGGAGTTGTACAATCATCAATGCTATCAGCTCCCTCTTCCCCCCTTCCCATCTGACCCCCACCCCTTCCTGCACCCTCAGGGAACCATCACTCCTGTTACTGTTTCCGCAGGGTGATCTATCTTGACTTTCATGTGCCAAACTACCTGAAATATACAAATGAACATATGAAAATTTAATATGACTAATGAGGTAAAACAAAATCTTATCTTTTATGTGTAGAAACCACTTTTCTTTGGTTTTCCTTATAATAATGGTGCTATTAAATGTTTATCTTTGTAAGGTTGACTAAGTTCGCTAAGCATATGTTCTCTAGTTTTGCC